GTAACATCAGAGAAAGCAGCTCATCAAATCAACCGCAATCCTTTATCCCAACTGATACAATCAGCAATACAATATGATCAAGCACAACTTGAGCTCTTGTAGTCTTGTATTATTCTTTTTTTTCAGTATTTAGAGAATACTTTATTAGTTTCTGTAATCAAACCCAGGTAGATATGACCTTACATATTTAATACAGTGCATTACCCCTGTACAAATGGAAAAAAAATTAACATTTATAGACCAATATGGCTGTTAATTTTTGTACAATGCCAACTCAGCACAGTAAATTGGGATAACTTTTTCCAAAGTTGACAGCGCAGTTAAAGTTTCCAAAAATTCAAATTATGTATATATGTATATTTATATATATTTATATTTATATAAAAGACCAATAATAGCAGTATGTTATGCATCAATAGCAGGAGCAGCTTTACGGTTGAACTCCACACCGTTCTACTACAGGTTTCCCACACCCTTTCTTTAAAGGTGTTCAAAGTTGGGAACTCAGAAAAATACCCTTTATGATCACCTCTGCCTCTGCAGAGTGGGTCAGCAGCTTTTCCAGGTTCTGCAGTCATCTGCAGTCTATTTCTCTTGATTGGTGAGTTGAGGCCATTGACATTGATGGTTATCCTGTTGTTGGTCTTTTGTTGACTCTTTTTACTTTTTCACCTTCTCCTTTTAGTTTCTTGCCTTGCCTATTTGATTTGCTCTGTTGGGCCTCATGGTGTTGTTACCTTTGTTGTCTTTTTCTAGGATATTGTTTAGAATTGCTTGTAGTGCTGGTTTGGTATTCATATAGTTTCTCAGGTGTTCTTTGTCTTGAAAGTATCTTATTTCCCCATCCATTTTGGAAGAGAGTTTTGCAGGATGCATCAGTCTAGGGTGGAGGTTGTTCTCTTTTAGTACTTGAAATATCTCATTCCAGGCTCTCCTTGCCCTAAGGGTTTGTGTTGAAAAGTCTGCTGTGATTCTGATGGGCTTTCCTTTACATGTGATTTGTTTCTTTTCTCTTACTGCTTATAGTATTTTGTTCTTCTGTTGGGATCTTGGTTATTATATGTCTAGGTGTAGATTTTTTTTATTGTGGCTAGTTGGGGTCCTATATGCCTCAGTTATCTGAATGTCAAATTCTTCCCCTCTGTTTGGGAAGTTTTCTGTCATTAATTCTGTGAACAGCTTTTTAAAGTCCTTTGTATTTTCTCCTGCTACTTCATGGATTCCTATCAGTCTTATGTTATTCTTCTTTGCATCATCTAGGAGTTGCTGGATCGATTTCTCATGATCCCCTACTGTTTTTAAGAGATCTCTCTTTTCATGGTCACTGACTGCAATCTTATCTTCTATATCTGAGAGTCTATCTTCACATTCTTTTATTCTGTTGCATACACTTTCAATGGAGTGTTTAATCTTCTGGATATCTGTTTGAATCTGTTTTATGGATTCCATTTCTTTCCTATGTTGGGTGTTTATTGTTTCCATTTCTTTCTTATGCTGGGCCTTCATGGCTTCTATCGTG